TTACTGTATTCTGCAGTAATATATATACATATATATAAGTTTATAACAGTTATACAGTTGTGCAAGCACTTGAAGTACAATTATTATATAATTTATCAATTTATCCTGTTATAGATATAGGTATACCTGCAGGATAGGCTCCTATATATAATACATACAACGATGTCGCCAATATGATTTAATTGCGACTTAAATATGAGTTCCGGCAAATTAATATTTTGCATGGGTGTAACACAGGCAATAGGTTCCATGGCCGAAACTGAAAAAAACATTTAACCTAAAAATTCTAACTTAACCCAAGGTTACGGTATTGCAGTGCAGCTTGAAAAATGACAATGCCCTATAATCTATTTATGTCCTATAGGTTATTGGCCATATAGGTAACCTACCAATAATATTTATAATTATATATTATCTACTATACACGTCTTACGTCTATACACCTATATCCACGGCTCAACGGCTGTACCTACCTGTATAGGTACTGGCTGCTGTAGGTATATATCTATATCTCTGTAGGTTAGGTAACTATATACATAATATAATAGACGTTTTACCGCTTATTATAATATAAATGTTTATCTATTTATTTAATAATAAATGTAGCCAGTGTAGGTAGTTCTCTAGACAAAATAATTAAATATTTATATTTAGGTATATATATGTGCCTTTTTAGTGTGGAATGCGTAGGTACTAAGTCAAAAAATTGAAAATAAATAACATTGTTGGATTTATTATTAATAACCTATGTCCGCATTAAGGATGAAATGTATATTATACTCACATAGCATGTATAGGTAATTATATAAATAATTTCTATCGCATATTATAAAAATAATATCATAATTCATAATCATAATAATATATAAGTGCCAGAATGTCCCACAATATACGAATCTATATATATATAAATAGTACGCTGAAAAATTAGTAAAAGTCTTAATTTTACATCATAAAAATATATTGTAAACAATATTATAATAATATGGTATAGTGTACTAATAGTGTTTTATAAAATGGTTCACCAACGTCTGTAACGTTGCCGCCGCCGCCGCCACCGGAGGTGTCCGTGTCGGTGTCAGAACGTTTCATTTCGCGGGGCGTTGATCATTGGCCGACCCGGCCGACCAACGACCTGTATGACTGGGCGTGGCCGGGCGGAGTCTATCGGCTACACAGGGCGCGCGGTTGCGGCCGAGTCTGCGCCAGTTCAGCGACTATAATGTATCCCCTCCGCATTCGACGCGCCTACGTTTCGAATACATAAAAACCACAACAGCAAAGGGTTCCCAAAACGTTTGTCGCCGCAGTTTCCAGCTACTTTAGAATTTAACTACATTCTACAATGATGCGGTATTGGTATAATTATTATACCTATATAGGTATAGGTATGCCTACATCGCATATACCCGTCTCGAGGAGGTGGATATTATATTGTGTGACGTACACGTTGGTATAGCCGACAGTGGCGTAGCCAGGGTTATAAAATTAGAGGGGGGAGGGGGTAAAAAGTAAAAAGTTTTTTTTACAGTATTCGCTTACCTATATAAATAATACATTTATTATGGGTAAAAATGTTAATGGTAATTACGCCTGTATAAGGATGAATATTTTATGCATTTCGAAATGTAAACAACCTATAGCCACCTATAGGTATTCTATTTAGGCCTCACGACGTATCTTCTGCATATTATGTTAGTGTAGTGTAATAGTGTATATATACTAATATAGGTACCTACTATAATATATAGATTACTATATGAACCTATAGGTATTCAGAGTGTAACAGGAAAACCTGACAAATAAACTAACATTTGTTTTAATCAATATTTAAATTTTTATTTTTATTCTTAAAACTGAAAATAAAAATTTGAAATCTGATACCTATAGTTTTTTTGGAAATATTTAAAATGGGCAATTTGTAAATCTTGTTTTTATAAAAATGTTGATTGTAAAATTGCATATTTAAGTCATGTAGCTTATATTAATTCTTAAACATTTTTTGCATGAAATCTTATAATTTTTGTTTAGTTATGGGTAGTTGATTCAGTAGCGAGTCGTAAAAAAAATTATAAATTTTTTTTTAAATATTTAATGAGAATCTTTAAACGGATACCTATAAATTATAATATAACTACTTGTTAAAATAATCTAAATGTTTTTAAAAAGTTATGACTGCGTTTACAAATTAATGAATTTGAAATTTGATATTTTAAACTTGATTTTTAACCTTTGGCCGTGGAGAAAACCGGCCACGTTTTCCGGACGTAAAGAAGGCCGTGCCCACGTGCCTTTCCGGGAGCTGCTACGGTGATGGAGATCCACTTGAGTGAACTTGTCCGTCCCGACTCCCGCTGGATCTGACAGGGGCCTGAAGCTGAACGTCGTTCGTCTTAAACACAAGAATAAATTATAAACACATCAATTATTATAATATTACTTATTAGTATTACGAAGTCGGTGCGTGTGATTAACTTGACCAACCGGCGTGTCATTCAATAGATGCTGACACCCTCAATCCAGTTTGAATCTGCAGGGGTCATCGTACAGTTCAATCCATTTTTTGTGTCGCTTGCAAATCAAGTCCGTCAGATTGCGTTCGCTTGCTGATACCACGATCAGAAACAACTGGACCGTTAAAGCGTTAACAAAGTATAGGTACAACATTTTTACAAAATATACAGAATAATATAGAAATATACAAATATACAAAACGACTATATCTTTAAGCCTATAAAATAACAAATGACAACGACGTACGTGAAGTAGGCACCCCGACATCCTCCGGTCAGAGACGATTTGCAACGCTCATAAAAAAATTTGCAACACATTTTTTACGGTGCTACAGACAAACATAGCATTGAGGTGCCAAATTCACGTGGCAGCTCCCGGAAAGGCACGTGTGAACGTCCTTCTTTACGTCCGGAAAACGTGGCCGCCGATGGAAGCGACTTTCCACCTCTGCCGCCAGCAGTGCTAAACATGAGCCCGGTCGAGAACGTCACGTCCTGTCCAAAAACCTTTGCAGCCGCTCTGTTCGGCTTTCAGTGACCTCCGCCGCTCTTGGTGCGTAACGTGGGCCCGGTCGCGTATGCTCCGTGGCAGCCACAGACGCCCAGCCTGACAACTGTTGTGGCCCGCAGGCTATTACGCGGACCCGGCGTGGTTCGGCGTGAACGGCCAGCCGCCACTTCCGTGTGGCGTGCAGGCTCCGTCGATGTTCACTTATCTAAAAATTGAAACACTTATACATTTTTTTATTTCGTATAGTTCAAAATTACTGTATAAGTACCATTTATATAAAAATCTTGTTTTCAATTTACAAGTTTTTTTCAACGAGCATAATTTATTTATCAACATTTACTTTGGTAAAAAAAATTAAATCAATCTATTACAAGCTGCAGGTTATATGATGCATACAATTATTATTTTATAGTTTTATACCATGGTTGTCTATTATATAGTCCATTACATAACATCGTTTAGATTTAGATTCAAAAACCATTATTACCTATAATATTATGATAGGTAGCAAAAATTATTAAATTAAAATAAATATTCTAATTGGATTACCCTTATTACAACCTAACTATTTTATGCGCGTGAAAAGTGCGATTAAAAGTATATTCGAGCAAGTTATAGTAATTTTTATATACATTTTCAGTTTATATAAGTTTATTTATTAGAATATAAATATACAATGTACGTTATTTCACAATTAACGTTAACATTTAATTTTAAAACACCGATAATATTATAGTTATGCGTACTGCAATGCAGTTTATTTATTTAATAGATTTGCAAACAAAAACAACGACACACTGATTACGTATTTTGTTAAAGGAGTACACAGTACACAAAAAATTGTGTTTTTATTTTTTTTAAATGTAGCTATGACTATAAGTGATTTGGTGAAAATCCTATGTAAAAAATGACGACTTCAAGATATATTAAGAAAATATATAGCCGTACCTATAGGTTAGCCGTAGCTATAGGTATATCCGTAGCTATAGCCCACTGTGCAATTAATCATCGCTTCGATGTTGTAGCGTTGTTTTATTGAAACACGTAACATCGCTATGCGAGTCGCATTGGAGTTGCAACAATATTCCTACAACTGCTAATCGGCCGTCTTTGCTGACATGCATGTAATATTGTATCCATATTTTCTCTCGACATTTTAACAATATTATAAATTAACATCTATGCGACGTTTCAATAAAACGTTGGAGTAACAGGCCAACCGCGTAAGAATCGCAAAACAACATTACCTAGATGTTGCATACCAATTATTATGTAACAGGAAAACTATTTTCATAAAAAAAAATGCAAAAAAGAATATCCACTTTCCGGGGTTCGTTCTGGTACTCGAGCGCACCTCACATTGAATTGTCCTACCTTCCTACGTTTTAACCGACCTACCTAGTACCTACCTACCAGATGGAAATTGGATGATGAATTGAAGTTTATTAAATAGATATCAATTTTAAGAGTTTATATCAACTGCCCATTATAGCAAGTTAAAATATTTTGATGGATCCTGATTAAAATTGTATCGCACTGTAATTGATAGCAAATTTGCAAATATTGTTTATTATTTTGTTATAATATTCACATGTTTAACTAGGCATAAGAATTTGGAACATTTGCATTTTGTTACTCTAAAACATACCTTATCAAAAACTAAATTCATTTCATAGACCACAGACATCTTTTTTTTTAACATGAATTTTTGATGACTTGGAATATTTGGATGTAGGTAAGTGGTAGTACTATATCACTTACAATTAAATAAACTACCTACTTATCAAGCTAGGTATTAAAACTTCAATACAGTTTTCAAGAGTAAAGATTATTTATTTTTATATACATAATATTAACATACATCATACATAAATATAATATATAATATATAAATAAAAAAAATATAATAATACAATAAATATATTATAAATAAAATAGGTGCCTAATTTTATTAATTTTTATATAAATAACTCAAACTACTCAGCTATACCATGACATAATGTTGTTACAATTGCAGTTTCATTTGATATAGGTACAAAAAAACATTTGTATTTTACTTCAGTAACACTGATTATAAATTCATCTGATAATAATGCAGTATTTATATTAAAAGTTTCTAAATTTGACGATGGTGTAGGAGAAAAATAAAAATTTAAGCAATTAAAAAATTTTTGAACTATGATCTTAAACTCAAATTCATTTTGTCGTTTCATTATATGTCTAACAACTACAATATTCTGATTTTTTAGCATAACATACTTATCTTTTATTTTAGAAGTGTTAATAGTTATGTTTAAATCTTGTAATGTAATTTTTTCATAGATCTTATCAGCTAACGAAACATAAGGAGAAACAATTTTAATACTGACTTCTTTTCCTACAGTTACTGGATTCGATATTTGATATTTTTCAGATAAACAGTGTTTTTGTTTTTCAATTATTCGGTTTGTGATTTCTGGAAGTGGATACTTAGCACTTTTAATAGATTTTTTTATTTCCTGAAGATAGTTTTCATATTTAAAACAACTGAAATTATCTAGGGAACCATGAATCTTCACAAACATTGGAAGATGTACTAAATTATGAACATTATATGAAACATTATGTGGGCCATATAGAATCGAATACTGTGAAACAAATTCTTTGAGAAATGTTTCTGCTAATTGGTTGTGTATTTGACAAAGATTATCGCACACAAGAATCCGTAACGCGCTAACTAATAATTTAAAATGAGAATAAAATTGATTATTTAACTTTCCTTTTAATACAATATTAAGCCAGAATACAAAGGGCATAGGCGTGCGCACGGGGCGAGCCGGTCAAGCCCAGGCTTGACCTGAAACTTTTTAGGGGCATAGTAAAATGTGCGTATATATTTAAATATTTTATTATAATGCTTATATTATAATAATGCTTTCGTGGAGATCATGAAAATTTTGTTTGTCGTGAAAGTATAAAAAAATCAAAAATATTTGTGTGTACCTACCTAACCCAACCACTACATACATTTTATTAATCTAAAAAAAAAAACATTATACCTTTATACAAATACAATAACTATAGTACTATAGACATTAATACTTAATAGGTAAATGCATCAACATGTAAGTTGGTGTGTTAAAAAAAAAAATTAGAGGCGTTGTCCAAATATTAGGACACTATAATTTGTCCAGGCTCGACCAGAAATTTAAGTCTGCGCACGCCTATGATTAAGGGATATGACTTTCCAATATTCCAATAGTAGAACGTGGATATTAATAAATGATGACATAATTATATTCAAATAATTATTTGTATCACATATAAATCGCGGACGTTATTTGTAATTTAGACATTAGTTACATTGTAATATCGCTTGGGTGTTACACAATTAACATCTAGGCAATGTTACTTATTGATATATAAAACTTTATTTTTATGAAACGGTTATAGAACATCGCACTGATGTTAATCAGTGATGTCTTTTTGTGATCTAAATTCAACATCGCGACGATGTTGTGTAACTCGCAATGCACAGTGGGAGGTATAGCCGCATATATAGCACCGCCGGTTCCATATTATTTGTTGTAACACTAACACTAACGTTAACATGTTTTGTTTTTGTTTGCATCAATAAACGATGGTGGCTGGAGGAGAAGCAATGCTAACAGCAGTTTCTCCCCCCACCCCCAGTCATCGGTACCACGTAAAAAACCAACAAAAAAAACCGAGAAAACTGCGGGTACACAGCTCTATATAAACTAAATATTACTCGGTACGCCCTATGCATATTTTATAATTCAGCTGTCTACTGCAGTGGCGTCCGCAGCGGGGGGGGGGCTAAAGGACTAAAGCCCCCCCCCATTACCCGTATTATTATTACTTTTTCAAAAAAAATATTAAGTTAAACTGTCAACTATAGTAAGCAAGATGTAAATTTCAAATATGTCTTACCAGAATGAATTCATTTTTGAAAAAAACATTGTACCTATTGTGACATACCAATTTTCATAAATTATCTGTAATTTTTCGGTAAAATATGAACTATTTGTATGACAGACCTTGTATTAAATTGTCTTTAAATGGTTATAAAAAATAAGCATGGTGCCTATGTATCGTTAATATTTTAGCTATAATAAAAAAATTTACGTATTACATTTTTAAGCTTTTTGACCGGATGAATAATTTTTTATTGACATTTATAGAAAAAAAAAATTTAATTATTCAAATACAATCCAAGTGAAGGCGGTATAACCAAACATTTAAATAAATTTTCATTTTTTTTTCTAAAATTATTTTTAAAAGCACTGAGCATTTTCAATTTCAACCTCCTAATACCTAGTACCAACTAGATCCAATTTGCTTTCAAAAACATACACTGAGCATCGGAGCTTATGATCAGAGCATTTTTTCTACCGGAAAAGTTGAAAAATTAGAAACATTTTAAAATACCTCAAATAAATGTCTGCAATTATTAGACTGGACAAAATGAAAAGAAAATTGTAACTAATTTTCAAGCCCCTCCCATTGAAAAATCCTGCGGACGCCAATGGTCTACTGCAGTGGTGGCCAAACTACGGCCCGCGGGCCAACTCCGGCCCGCCATCATTTAATATCTGGCCCGCGAAAGAAGTACCTATAATATTTTACATTTACGTAAAAAAAAAAAATTAAATATATACAGTATACATTCTTCATATTTAATCCCGTATCGCCATATCGTAGCGTTTTTGTTGTTACAATGTAATGTTTACATTGTTCGGTTCAGTAAAAGCTTTCCAAAATAAATTATCTTTATTTCTAAATCAAATTGAAGAATTAAATTTCTCCCATTTTGAATGTTGTGCTACTTTAAAAACAGAAGATTGTGGTATATTTCCAAAACAAAGGTGCATCAAAATTATTAACACACTTATTCGTGAATTTGAAAATCGTTTTGAGGCATTCGAACTAAAGAACCAATTATAAATCTATTTGAAAATCCATTTAATTTTCGAAGCTTCTTTACTATTAGAAATTATAGAACTCCAATCTAATAATTCTTTAAAAACAATATTTAATAATTTGACAAGCTCTCAAAATCTTGTTCAGTTTTATTCAAATTTATCTGAAGAAGATTTTCCAAATGTTCGGATGTTTGCTGCTAAGATGTCTTGTATATTTGGTTCAACATATATTTGTGAGCAAGTATTTTCAACGATGAAAATTAACAAAAGTAAAACTCGATCTCGCATCACAAATGAACATCTACACGCCGTTCTCCGGGTAAATTCTACCAAATTAGAACCTAATATTAATGTCCTCTGTCAACAGAAACAAGCTCAAAGTTCTCATTAACAAATTAATACATTTTAAAATATGTTTTGTAAGTGTAAAACGATATTTTGTATAGTTTATATTTATTTTTATATGTGTTTTAATAATTTATTTAAAAATATTTTTTGAAATGTAAGCCGATTTAATTTTCTTTAATTTGTAGTAATTATTAAGTTAAGTATTAAATAAAGTCATTAAAATTATTAAGTACAATAAAAACGTCGTTAATTATAAAATTATATACCTATACCTAAAATTCTGATGACTTAAAAGTAAAAAAAATTTTTATGGCCCGCGGTCAAAAAATTTTTTTTTTTATGGCCAGAGTTAAAAAAAGGTTGGCCACCACTGGTCTACTGGATAGTGATGATCCGCAATAGTCTATACTCTATACTCTATATAGTTTCATGTCTCGAAACAGAATTCAAAAATATGTATAGGCTAAAGGTACTACAGAGTAATAGGGATAATTAATTTAATTATGTAAAGTGTATAGGAATCCCGGAAAAAAAATCCCCGACCCTAGGAAAAAAAATAGTAAAAACAGTAAAAACATAACATATACTTACAAATATTTAGTAGGTATACAAACATTTTATACGAAATATAGGTGGTAATAATAATTATAATAATAATAATTATAGGTACCTATATTTTGTATAATATTTTTGTATACTACCTATGTTTTTAACTGTATTATTAATTGACGTATCAATCATTCTAAATATTTTTATAATATTTTTAATATTTTTATAATTTTTATAACAATATAATATAATATATTATATTATAATAGAATATAATATACGTATTTGTCATTAAATATTAATTAGGTATAGATACTTAATTAACGTTCAAAATATATTTGTTCAACCATTTGCATGTGATTGTGGGTAATATTGTAGCTGGGGATTTTTTTTCCGATTACCTGCAGTGTATAGATACCCTGTTTTCGCGGACACACGTAAGGTATAGCTTTAGTACTGCGCATCAGTACTTTCATTAAACGGCATTCATCATAATTATATATACATATTATATATGGGTGTCAGCATCTTTTTCGTGCCATTTGCGGTCAAATAATTTTTATCAACCAGAATATCAAATTGAAGGTGCTATAATCTATTTCTATAGAGGTATACCTACAAACGCCTATACCTACATGATTATAAAATAATTTTTTATCTAGTATATATAATAATATAGTATATACATATATGATTTATTATTTTATTATAAAAATGTATTGACATATTATACTTTAAAGTTTAAAAGTGTATTGCCACGCCACGTCACTGTACCTGCAGATCGATAGTTAAAATGTTACTCGCTTGATGCCTCGATATAGTATATCTACCTAATAGGCAATAGGTATACGTACCTATATCTACCATTTTTATAAGACCTAACTCATGCACTCGTCTAAATTATAGGTACCTACCTCGTGCTATGTAATACATATTATATTTATATATAAGTATACCTAACGATCCTGATAGTTAGATCCTTCCATTTTTTAACAAATACTTAATTTCCTATTTCCTTTATTTAAAATTTGATTTTTAGGGTTGTTATCATTTACCGCAAGTTTGAATATTGCATACAAGGTGATTCATTAAGCGTAAACACTCATTATCTCAAAAAGTATTAATATTTTTGAAAATATTTTTTTACATAGTTTCAAGTTGTTAAAAAAACAACGTTTTCATTAAAAAACTATATTTTTAAATATTTATAATCCTTATAATTTTTTAAGTTTTTTACTTTTTTGAATGACAGCATAGAGTTTTAATTTCATATTCCAAAGCAGAATATTTTTCTAAGTATTTTGATACATAAAAATCGAACTTAGGACTAGTAGTTTATGAGTTATAAGTATTTTAAGTTTAGATGGACGGAGTGGAGTGGTATGGGGTTATACCCCGCAAAATGTTTATCCACTACTCCGCCCATCTTAACTTAAAATACTCATAAACTACTCGTCCTAAGTTCGATTTTTATGTATCAAAATACTTAGAAAAATATTCTTCTTTGGAATATGAAATTAAAACTATATGCTGTCATTCAAAAAAGTAAAACACTTAAAAAATATTTAAAAATATAATTTTTTAATGAAAACGTTGTTCTTTTAACAACTTGAAACTATTTAAAAAAATATATTCAAAAACATTAATACTTTTTGAGATAATGAGTGTCTTACGCTTAATCAATCACCTTGTACCTATATGAGAGCAGTGTAGAATCTACATATACAGAAAATATATCTAAAATGCTAGTGATAACATTCAAATAATTTCAATATTTGACCATTTTTCAAATAAAATGCTAGCCATGCCCATGAATTTGGTGGAGTTGTTAAATTTTCCTCGTATAATCTCAATTAGAAACTGAAGGAAAGTAACAAATTTACTGGTCAATTACATAATACTCAAAATAATGGTATTAATTTCTAAAATTAAAATGTGTGACTATAGTAATTATTATAGTATAGTAGGTACCTATAGTACGAGACAACTCGCCGTGATTTGTAGGTATATAGAGGAACCTATATTTTTCTCAACTGCGGATATTTCTATATGTTAGGTATCTATATTGCTATCGTATATGCTTGGCATTCTTAATTATGTTAGTCTGTTGCCTATATTTAGTTGTTACTAATAATTTAACTAGTTTATCTCATTTGTATTTTTGTGCTCATAATATTTTACATTGTCAAATTATTTATCACCAAAAAAGCCTCCCGACATACCCATCTTCCTATCGACCCATAAGCCTCCTGCGCTTTTTCGCTAAAATATTCGAAAGACTTATTCTAAAAAGAATTCTTCCTTCCATCTACTCTAGTAATGTCCTTCCTAACACTCAATTTGGTTTTCGTGCTTCCCACTCTACAACACACCAGCTACATAGGTTAGTTGACGCCATATCTTATTCACTTGAACAAAAAAAATACTGCTCCTGCGTATTTCTCGACGTTTCGCAAGCATTTGATCGTGTCTGGCATGAGGGGCTACTTTACAAATTAAAACTTTTTCTTCCACCAACATACTACCTGCTGGTTAAGTCTTACCTAACTGACCGCCACTTCCAAGTCAGGTTTGGTTCTTCTTTTTCAAACATTGCAAACATCAATGCAGGAGTCCCACAGGGAGGCATACTGTCACCAATACTATATAATATATATGCTGCTGATCAACCTACCTCTTTAAACACAACTGTAGCTGAATTTTCAGATGACAAGGCAATCATAGCAATTCACGAACACCCAATTTCTGCTTCACTAAATCTACAACACCACCTCAATCTAATGTCGAACTGGTATGATAAATGGAGAATTAAAGTAAACCAATCAAAATCTCTTCACACTACCTTTACTCTTCGCCTTGCCCCCTGTCCTGAAGTTTCTCTAGCTAACATACCTATCCCTACATCTCAATCGGTTGAGTACCTAGGGCTAACCATTGACCGGCGTCTTACTTAGGCGCAACACGTAAGGGGAAAAAAACTCGCTATAAATGCGCGTCTCCGGTTACTGAAAACACTACTATCAAAAAAACATACTAAATTAAATATAAAACTGCTCATTTACAAGTCCTTAATTAAGCCTATGTGGACATATGGCCTACAACTTTGGGGCAATGCAAAAAAATCAAACCTTAACAAAATACAAACCGTTCAAAATAAAATTCTGCGCCTCATCACCAATGCTCCATTTTACATTTCTAATTTCACTCTCCATTCTGACTTAAAAATCAAAACCATTCACGAATCACGAAGAAGCCAAAACTTTCTATAAACGCTTTTCAACAAGCTGCCGTCTCACTCAAACCCTTTAATTTCTGGTCTAGCCACTCACACGATTCCTGGTAATCCACCAAGGCGTCTAAAAAGAAACTGGTGTAGAGATCTTCTCAATGATTAACGAAGGGAAAATAAAAATAAAAAAAAAATAAAAAAATCTTATAATAATATCTAATTAAAAAAAAAAAAAAAAAAAAAAATACATAAATGTATTTCAAGCAAAGTGAAGTGCGATCACTGGATGGTTTCTTCCCTCACCCTATTTCATGTTAAAACTTATTTCAGCACATATTCTTATTATGCCTTTGTGCATAGATTGTATATTACTAATAAAAGTTATATATAAAAAAAAAAATTATTTATCGAGACTTGTATTTTGATTAAAAAAAAGGTTATAGGGGCCCGTATGGCCCAGACATTTTTACGAGAAATTGTGAATTTACCGTAATATATGTATTATAATACCCGCAATAGGTAGTAGGTGTATAAATAGCTGCTATGACCTGGCAAACATTGTTTTTTTTTTACGGCACCTAGCCAAAACAAAAACCATTGGTAGAACCAACCGAACCTAATATAGCCAAATAGGTAATACATGTCAGTAGCGTATCTAGGATTTTTTCAAGGGGGGGATATAAAAATTTTGTAATGTGTAAAAATAATAATAATAATTAGTAGGTATCATAATCTAGTATAGTTTAATTTCTAAAATCTAAAACTACCTAATACAAACTCTAAAAACAACAACCGATTGGAACTTTTATTAATTATCATTGATCACGGACTTCAGTTAACTTACAACAGTCGTGTATGAATGTATGATTCAACTATTCTGGGTATTGTGTTAATATTTAAGTTGAGTACCTTATTCTACCTAAATTAAAATGTATTTTTTTCGTGACGCGTGTTTACATTAATCTTTTAATTTGATCAAAATATGACTGGGTTGACAAAAAATAAATGGGTTGTGTGGCTAAAAATATTAAATTAACGCAAACTGCTCAAGAATCAAAAATAATTTCCGGTATGTTTAATAAACAGATAAAACTTGAGGTGATAACTAAGCAATAAAAAAAAATATATTTTTATTTAAGATAATATTAATTTGTAAATATATTGTATACCAATATAAGAGTAATAGAGTATGGACAATAAGTGAGGAATCAGGTAAAATTGATTTATAGATAATGCAGTTGATATATTTTCAAAAAAAAGAAGATATCCTAATAAACTACTAATATTTTCGTTTATCAATATAAATATAGCCGTATAATAGTTTGCAGACATTTAACTGATATATGTATACAATTGTTTTTTTTTAAATGTCTGCTACCTTATATTTAAAAATTATGTTACCTAGTTAATAAAAAGGGTACCATAAACAAATTTAAGCAGATAATATGTAGTTGTGAGCAGTTTTTTTTTACCCATTCATCGGGCTGGTCAAAACCTTTGCCCCCTCTATTGAAAAACGAAATGATGCCACTGGTTGTATGATATTATTGAATTTAATACCATTCATTTTCGTTCATAGGTTAGGTTTTAGGTGAGCTGTTCAATCTTCATACAACTATCAAATAATTGTTTTAATAAAATTAAAAAAATTAAAATAACCTTCCCGGGGGGGGATATGACCCCCATATCCCCCCCCGTAGATACGCCACTGATACATGTGAATATTATATGGCTTCGACTACAGCTTTTATAAGGATTCCGAATTCCGATATAGATTACTGAATGCTCTATTGAGTACCTAATGGCTAATAGGTAAATTTAATATACGGTATACCGTATAACTAAGTATAGATAGATACCTATAATATATGGTAACATATTATAGTACCTATAACATAGCCTTTGCCCTTTTGCCTTATTATGATTACCTACCTATAAAGGCTATATATTACCTATATTATATCTAATGTCATATGTCGTTATGTAAGCTGCAGCGGGACCATCGACCTCGAGGGGACTTAGTCCCAGTCCCCCAAAAGTCCGTCAAGACCCCCTCATTTTTAGTTTTTTAGGATCGAAGCTCCCCCGCTTACATTGATATTTGATGTTAATAATGTTAGCCCCCTGAAATTTTAATGGAATTCCACCAATATGGGCCTAGAACCCTACCCCTGCGTACGCCACTGAACTTAGCACTCACGGACTCAAGTAAGGTATAATAAAATATATTTAATATTTTAATAGGTATGCATCATAGTCCATAGACACCATTAACCACTGTATGATAATACAATAATACTTACAATATACTGGTATTACGTTATTTTTGTATTATTCGCTATTGTTTGGCATACCTTTGATGTGTACCTATTGGTCAAAGTGGGTGGGCCAAGTTCATGGACGTCATGAATTTTAGTAAAATATGATTTCCGCTTTCCACTATGAATTTTTAATTAAAGATACCTATGCATACAATGATACTACAATATTCCTATGTCCTACCTATATCCGGCTAAACCAGTGAAAAAATAAACCTCTAGACCAACCTATATTATGAAATACATCGAATATTTAGATATCAATATATGCTATATATAATGCATATAATAAGTATATATTGAACTAATTTAAATATCCAAACATGGTACAAAGATATAGGTATATCGTATGCATATAACTATTATAACTATAGGTACCTTTCTACCAATACCTATAATAAGATTCAACATTTTAATAACAAATAAACAATTTACTTTTATATTAACGTCACACTTACTTATATTTATATATACATGAATACATGATAAATATAGTCAACTTTGCACCTTGAAATAATTTGATCTATTTTATACCCGACACTATAATTAATATAGGTACCTATAATAATTACACATGAGGTTTTATAATATAGCCTATAGGTATTATTGTACCTATGTTATATGTATCGATGTATTATACAATTAAAAATTGATGATTGGGGGATTTTAATTTTAATTATACATGGTGTTCTCGTATAGTTATTTTCCACGAAAAAATTAGCGAAGCAAATGGTGCAACTATAGATACGTAGGTATATCTCTCTGATATATAAAATTCTCGTGTCACAGCAGTGTTAGGTGGTCGCACTCCTCCGTAACGGCTTGACCGATTCGTATTAAATGTTGTGTGTATATTCAGTAGGTCTGAGAATAAGTCGTACAGTATTTTTCACTCTCCTACCATTCATCCGGGGAGGTGCTCAAAAGGGGATTTTGAGATTTGCGGTGGAAATTTTTGTTTATAAATGGTTGCTATTGGTTATAGGAGAAATAATTAGTAGAAATTAGTATTTATTATTTGGTTGCCATTGGTTAATCGCCAATAGGGCATATCAGGTGCAAGCATGCATCATATCAAATTTTCGCAAATTTTCTACTTGATATTATGATGTTGCGAATTGTCCGCGAACCGACGTAGTCGGATTGCCTACCAGGGAGGCCGAGTTCCACCCAAAAGGAGTTGAACAATCACATTTTTTTTAAAAGCTGTAATTTTTTTACAGCCAACGAAGTGCGCGGAATCATCTAGTATGTATAAACAAATTACAATTTCAAATAAAACATCACAGTTAACATGTAACTATAAAAAATATATATTTTATTTTAATTAATTGGAATAAATAATGTATAACATTACAATTTATATGGTAACAATTATCTTTTTACCGTAATATTACAATGCTACATGCCTATAAATTATAATTATTACTTTATTGATAGATTCTTCAAATGTTCAAGTGTATCAGTTAAAAAGTGTGGTACCATTTCTAAAAATATTTGCTGATTTAATTCCCCGACGAAAATAAACCTTTCCACATAAAATTGAGTGACATAATATTCATTAGGTATTTCAAGTTTTTCAATTGATCTGTCAAACAAAATGTAATTAAAAAATTAAGTACCTATATTATTATATTTTATATACACAATAAAATTTTTAAATGGAATTTTTTTGCAAAAATTAATTCATTCTACTGTACTACTAATGTATAATAATAAAATAAATTACTATAATAGCCAATAATATCATAACATATACTTGGCAATATAGACTGACAGATTGACTTCAAATTTATCTACTTAAAACTAAAAACAAATACATAAACTAAATAGATTATTAGAACAAAATACATACTTGGTACAGTGGTTAATAATTGATTTGATGTATTGAGCTAAATACTCTAAATATTGTGTAGTTATGTCTGGATGAAATTGTTTTAAGAATGTCTGCACACCTATATACAATGGAGCACCATCAACAGGATCTCCAATTTTTTTCCACATCAATAGAGCTTTAATTAAAATTAGGTAAATATATAAATAGTAATTAAAGCTATTTTTTAATGTTATAATTAACAATTTTAAAATTATCTAACCTAAATTTTCTGTATATTGTAGTTTTGAGAATTGTGAAATAGTGAATAAAAATGCAATTAAAGATATGTATTGAGTAGTGTTTGTAGTTATATACATTTTTAAGTATGGATTTCCAATTCCTGCCCAATCCAACATTTTACTCAGTTCTGGTAATAGTGGGTTGTCATCAGCTGGGTATGGTTTATTTTCTGGGTCTCTAAAATGTGCTTTTACTTCATTTAATACAGCTCTAAAATAAAATAAAATTTTATTAGATAATTTTATTTCATAGTATTAGAGTGAATTGACCTATTATCAAACTTAAATATAAGAATATTATTTTGGATATCTCGAGAACTTTTATTGATATAACAATTTTGAAATGCCCTTATCATATTACATAGTTCAAAATTGAAACATTAATAATAACCTATGAGATGCTAAAATTAATAACCTTTCCTTAAATTTGATAATTGGTTATTTTAATAAACATGAAAGCTAACAAAAAAAAATTGGTTTTAGTGAACGCAAACTTCCTGTTTTGTACATTTGAAAGATGAAGATAATTCTTAAGATTTATTACTATTAAATATTAATTTATAAACGTACACATGCGTAGGTGAGAAAAATGTAAATTTCAAAGATCTTCATTTTTGTAATAAACTAACAGCCCATCATTTTAGTATAATATACATAGTATTAAATTAATAAACGATCATAAGATAAACAATAACATTACTTGTTCATTGCTTCTAAGCAATCAAATAAATTTCTAGCATTTAATTTACACGAAACTTCAAGTTCAAAAAATATTTGCTTGCGTATAATCTGAAGCTGTCCAATTCTCATGATAGAATCCAAAATAGTAGGTAGTATTTTTTGAAATTTTGAGCAGTGTTTTTGATATGTCTTAACTGGATTACCTAAAAAATTATGTAAAACAAGTTAATAATATAAGCATTTCTACCAATTTATGGCTTTAAAAATGTATGACTCTATTAATTTTAATTAATTTACTTAAGTAAGTTGGTACTCAATTCTGTTTGATTTAATTTATTGTCTAATGTTTTTTCTCTAGTATTGCATCATTTTTTTATATATATATATATTAATAGTTTATGTCATTATAATAATAATAAATCGTACATATTATGATTATGCTGTTTTTAAGCAAATTGTAATTTGATACTAATTATTTTATTATTCTTATATCTTACTTATAATACTGCCATTTGAAATCAATTCTTTTGTTATTGTACCAAGAATTTGTAACCACTCTCTATCTTTAATTATGTTTGTTTGTAAATAATCCAATAGCTTCTAAAATTGTTTAAAATAATAATTTATTAACTTCACAAACTTTAATTTGATAATTAAAATCATTAAAACAATAACAAGATACAAAATAAATAAAAATAAGCATTGTATTTATTACCGACCTTAAGTTCAGAAACTATCATAAATCCAATGAGTTTATCTAAGCCAGTAAGTCCACAAACGTTTATTGAGTTAATTATATTTGAATAAAATCTTATATTAATAATCTCCTCATTTGTCTTATAATCATACCATGCTGTAGTTTGCTCTTTATAAACAGCAACCCTATGAATAATATATTATAATAATTAGTTTGATTAATAATCAGAAGGACTCGGATTTCAAGGCACTAAAAGTACCATGGTATAATTAAATTTAATGACCTTTGAAATATGCACTAATAAATTTAAAAATATAAGCAAAAAGAAGTTTTTTATTTGTATTAATTAATTAGATAGTAATTTGTTAAATTTTAAAATTTAAAATAAAATTGTTGCAAAAATAAAATTCACAAATAAATAGGTAATAGTCTCAAACTTAATTGATCATTAAAGCAATACTGTTCAAAATTATCCAAGAAACAGAACATTTTTTTGTCTTCTTAACTTTCCCTATTAAATGCAATCAGTGAAAAACAGAAAATAAATATGATTTTGAACTCAAAAGATCAAACATTTCTTAAAACTGAGAAAAGTTCACTAAATGATTTTGTATTTGGAATTGATGATGTATAAAACAAATTATTAGCTTACTCTATTTGTTTTATGTATATTTCATAATAATTAACGAATTCTATAGATTCCGTATCCTGATGATTAATATACCCAGATAATTTTACTAAGATAAATCATTTACTTTGGATCAGTAATGCGAATCAGTTCTCTAGCAAGTCGGCCAATAAATGTCATAGATTGACCATCACACGGCTCAAATGACGGAACAGGTATAACTTTACTCTGGTAAACACTTTGCCAATCTAATATTTTTGCACGCATAAAGCTATTACATTCCATTTCAACATTATAGCCAATGATTCTACTTAATTCTTCTTGCCATATCTTTAAGCCATATATACCAATGTAATCTTGTATATACTCAAATGAACGACGGTAACCAGCCATAGTGTTACTAAGAGCATCAAGTTTAGGTAATAACTCACTAGTCTGAAACAATCATTTGATTAGTTATAGCAAATTCAACTTTTTGAAAAATGTACCTTAGCTTTAGGGTTGAATATAAGACCATTGTGGAGTGCAACTGCTATGTGTTGAACTAACTCTTTTCGAATTCCATCTTCGAGAAGTTGTTTGGGATCAATTTCCACAACACCAACTAGGGTGCTTTTCATACATAATACACCTTCTGTTAGCACAGACACAGCATTAGTCAGCTTGGCTACCTATAAATATTTTTAATAATACATTTACATAAATATAACATTTTAACAATTTTATTTTATTATTTTACCTCAAGTCTTTCATCAAGTTGTGCATAATCATTAAGTTTATCCTTTTCTAATCTAGTGGGTATTTCTTTAATAATATCTGTTTGTAAAGTAGCTATTTTAGTCATGTATTTGAACATGGTCTCAGGAATTATATGAAGTACTTTACGTATGTATTCTATTAACTCATGTGAATAATATTTACTAACTGACATTAAGTTTTCACTACCAGACTGATTAATCCGTATAAGAGGTACTTCCATACATGACACCAGCTAAAAATAAAAATAACATTATTATTCAACACATTGAAATTTAAAAAATCATTATTATTATAGCTGCATATAGTTTTAATTTTTATATATTATATACTATACAAATTTTATTGAAAGTAAATTAATGTTTCCAAAAATTTGATATAGATATCATTTGATCTCAGAATCAGAAAAAATAAACTAGTATTTGGTTTCTTCTAAAGTTTAAAGACCTTACCAAAAAGTTAGATACATGCTTAAAATGCTCTTAGTTACAGTGTAAATTTTTATTTTTTTTATTTTCATACTAAATTATTGAATCAATACTTATAATAATTAATACCTTTAAAAATGTTGCTCGAAGTTTGATCACAAATGAAGGTTCTTCTTTTATTGTATTTTGCATCAGACCAGTGAATCTATCAATATGATACCAAGCATAACTAAAATCTCCGATGATTTGAAGATCTATTAGGACATTATCTTTGACACTTATCGTTTTCATCATTTCACGAAGATAAGTATGTGTATCTTTAATAGTCTGACTCACTTGATAATTATTAGCAAGTTGATGAAATTCTATTAACAATATAAATGTATAAATACATGGCAAATTATGTATTAACTATGAAAATAATTAATACCTTGGACCTCGTCTAAAGCTTTGATTATTTGGGTGATTTTTCTACTAGTTACAAGTTCATCTTCCATAGAAATTTTTTCAATCTGTTTCCCAATATTAATAAACCAAATCTGTAAATTTTCTTTTAAAAATATTATCATAAATAGTACAAATACTTTAAGATAAATAACACACAATTCTATAAATATAATATTATATGTTATTTACCATTTTTTTTTACACGTGACATAGTTGTTAAACCCGAAAAGATTTCTGATAATTCATTCATACGTTCAACACAGTCATCTTTCCGTTTAAGCCATCTAACTTCTTTTTCATCCAACAACTAAATGAAAACAAAAAACAAATATCAAGTTGATAAAATTTATAATACCTAAAACTTTCATTCCTTTCATTAAAATAAATTACAATAACATAAAGTACCATATTATTTGCAATTAAAATGATACAAATGAATCCAATTGAACAACATAACAAGATGAATAAGATTTATTTAAGCTTAAGAAACACCTATGATATATTTTATGAAATAGCTTGGAATGCTTGTTAAAATAATGTTTAACAACTTTGATGATTTGAATGCCAAAACCAGAATAAATAAAATTACTCTTATATAAATTATTAAATACACATTTTATTTCAATATTAAAACTTACACTTTTAAATGTGTCTTTTATTTTTAATTCAAAGTCTGCAGTAGTTATTAATAAATCAAAAATTAGACCATCATTATACAAGCTCTGATTATAAATTTGATCACAGATTTGTTTACTTTTTTTGGTATTTTCTGAAACTGAATTATTAAGAATAGTTATAATATGAATAATCACTGATTATATTAGTATAAACTTACGAAGATGATTCGTTGATGTATGTAATAAATACCATCTTAGCAGAACATTACAACTCCGACAAAGATTCATAACAGAGTTAATATTATCCAATATTTTTTTTTCAATATTAGGATTTCCGAGTATTTTTTTTATCTCAATTATTATTTTCTAAATAATAAACAAATTGTGTCAATATTCATAAAAAATATATAAATAAATATGGAATTTATGTTGGTAGTAACATAATTATAAATTATTGTAGTAATAAATTACTTTTATAGCAACAAATCAGTAAATTAATTATTGATACTCTAATTATATGATGTAAAAAATGTTATTTGATAAAAATAAATTTGTATTACTCATACCATTGTTTATTTGCCGTATAGTACAAAATTGATATTTTTATTGACTATCAGTACAGATTACAACCTTTTTAAATTAATGAATTCAACTTAACTATTTTAAGCTTATACATAATTAATCTATGTCTTAAATTTCTTTTCACCCTTTACTCCCAACCATATGAGGTAAACTATCTTTGTCCTAAGCTTCCATGGGGCTAGTGACGTATTTAGGTTTTTGCCTTGGGGGGGGGGAGGTTGATCTCCTTGATCCCTCCCATAAATATACCACTTCATGGGTCTCTGTTCATCATCTCTACTTTACTAGTTATTTTCATGTCATTGAGATTCTATCTATCCATTTCATCTTCAGTCTTTTTCTCACTCTCTTTACATAGTCATTCTCACTACCTCCAAGTCAATTCACCCCACACATGACCAGATACCCTAACCATCTCAACCTATTCTTCCACTCATTTTGTCTGCAATCGGTGCCACCACTTCTACACGAACCCTAACAAATTCACTTCTTATTATATCCTACCTAGTCACTTCACACACCCCTCTTAGCATTCTCATCACTGCTTCAACATATTTAATTCATATGATGTAATACAATACCTATACTAAATTAAAATGATTTTATGTTTATAATATCAACACCATTACCTGCAGATTCACAGAACGAGAACTTGCCAAACGACTTATTTCTGCTGTTTGAATTGTATTATTTACAGCTGTTTTAGCTGCTTTAAAAGATTCCCATGAATCAATTATATTTATTGTTACACCCATGTAAACATTAACAACCTTCAACAAAAGGAATGTGATTTAATTTTAATTTTCTATTACAAGTTAAATTAAATAATTAGGTAAGTACCCAATTATCTGGAAAAAATTTATCAACTATTTCTCTCATAATAGCAAATTCTTCATGTAATGTTTTAGGTTTGAAAAATAAACAAACAAACAACATTGCAGCTTGACCAGCTAGTGCAATACTTCTATGATCTGGATTTGGATATGATGATATTTGATTGTATATATCATCTGATCTTAGTCTTCCAATAGACAAATTTATTAAATTTTTATTAACTGGTACTCTTCTAAAAATGAATAAGTTAATTAAAAATTACATTTATTTCAATTTTAAAAGTATTCCTCTGTTTAGTCACATACATCTTATTGATGTATAATGAATAAATTAGTTAAATTAGGCAAATGTTATGGATTACACATGATTTACAATTTTCATACTATATTTTTATATTACATAATATCATAGTTTTGATATATAATATTAGTTACTTGAAATAATTTTCTGGGTACGATGATATAGATTTAACTGAGTTCTGTTTTGTACAACGTAATAATTTACAAATATCATCAATTGGATTTTCACTATTATAGTCTTGTGCATTGTAACGATGGTAAGCTACCAACAATCGCTCTCTAATAATTCCTTCAATGTAAATGTCAATAAATAATAAAATAACACCATATAAATACAACGATTCACACTGAAATCATATGGATGAAATGTTTACAAAAGACATAGGTTAAAATGTACAGTAGTTTTTACAAAATATAATTACCAATAGTTGTTTTCCTTCAATTGTAAGGAACATGGTTTCAATAGTATGTTGAATATATGACCCTTCCTCAACTTCATCAAGATATTCATTTAAATCGCGTATGTATTTATATACATTTTCAAATAAAAAATAGAACTGGTTAATGGTTTCCAAATTATTTTCTTTCAATTCTTCATTTAAATCCTTTAAGACCTAAAATATAAAAATAAATGTATAAGTATTTTTCAAATTTCAATAAATAGTATTCAATATTTTTTACTGGATTTGATTCAATTTTTTTTTCAACTTCAATTGAATTATTAAAATATGAAAAATCTAATATTATTTGACCATATTTTTGTAAATCTTGCTTGCTGTTTAATCTAAAACCACAAATAAACATTGAACATTAAACATTTTTTGATGTAGGTAATTGAACCATTGACTTTTTCTTAAACTATAACACAGACTGTAACTAATTGTATTATTATTAGAAGCTTATCCACTATTATGTATAACCATCAGAATAGTGTTTAAGAATAAAACCACTAATCAAAGTATAAAAACACTAAAAATAGCAATCCTCCATAAAAATAATAAAATTACTATCAACCGGGCCACCATTAAATGTTAACACATAAAGTATATTTTATAACATTATGTAAGTAATTGAAATATTAGTTTAATAAGCATTACCTATAAGCTGGAGGGATGTAATCTTTAAGCCGCAATATTTCAGCAATGATAGCGTTTCCTCTAGATACTATTCGCAGCAAAGCCAAGCCGCAAGGATTATTTTCCATTATATTATTTTCTGATGCAATTCAAAACTGGTATCCATAAATTGAATCGATGAGTGTAATATGTTTAATAGTAAATTACCATAGTATGTTTCTAACAAAATAACGATTTGTGACTTTACAATTTTATGAAAAATAGGTAAATAGACATGATACTTTAAAATAAATTATTTTAGTAATGTGCTAAGTAGTAAGTACAACTGTATGTTACTAAGAAAATAGTCTGCTTAGTCCAAGGTATCACAGATATACTAATGAAGTATGAACAATATTATTACACTATAAAGTTAACTAAAAGCATAAACTTTTTAAAAGTCTGTGACTAAAAGTTACAACACAAATTACATAAATATACTTCCAAACGATAAAATTGGTGATATTAATATATTAAATGTCATTCGGTATTCCTCATATTTTTCTCAATAACAATTTTATCTCTGATTTTATCATTATAATTTAGTATTTACTATAGTAGTTGGTACACTAAAAAATATTTTTAAAAAAATATACAAGAAGACGTGTATCTAATTCGTGATAATATAAAATATAAATATGATTTGTTATCAACTCCATGATAAAGAAATTAAAATTATTGTGATAATGTAATCAGTCATAATAAAAAATAAAATTTAATTTTTATTTTAAAACAACAAGCTGATTTCGATTTTCGATAGAAGTTCAAAAGATAAAAATACAAAATTCTGAAATCTGAATTAATTTATGTTCTATAATAACTGAATAACTTACAAATTTTAGATATATTGTATATAGTATTTATTTTTTCTTGTGAATGTATTACTTCTTATAATGATTTTAAAAAAAATCAATGTGGCTTATCGTTACTCCAGATTAATTTCGAAACACAAAAGTATCGTATTATTACACACAACAAATATTGTAAAATGTTGTAGCACAACTATTAAAAAAAAAAATGAATACAAATTTGATGGACCGAGTTTAAAAGACTTTATCGCAAAAGATTTACCTCAAGAACAAATTGAGCTTGTAAATAATGAAGATAAAATTCCATATGTGGATGATATGGTTGATTTAGGACAAAATAGAAAAGGTAAATACCTAATTAAAAACAAATATTATTGTTAGAAATTAAAAATGTCATATTGAATTTTTTTATTATTAAATTTCTTTGATTTGTTTTTAAGTATATATTGAAGTATATGGTTGTCAAATGAATGTTAATGATGCTGAAATTGTATGGTCTATATTACAAAACGAAAGTTACATTAAAACAAACAGTATTTATGAAGCAGATGTAATTTTACTTGTAACATGTGCTATTCGTGATGGTGCTGAAAATAAAATATGGACACGTATTAAACAATTACGGTCAGTTAAACGATGGAGAGGTAAATTAGATCCATTAAAAATTGGAATTTTAGGTAAAACTTTATTGTATTAAAAAATAAAATTGTTCATTACTTATGTTCATAGAACTACAATCACTGTTATTCCTGCTTTAGGTTGTATGGCAGAACGATTAAAAGAGAAATTGGTAAGTGATTCAAAGGGAGCTGTAGATCTTGTAGCTGGTCCTGATAGTTATAGGGACTTGCCAAGACTTTTAGCTAAAACTGAAGCCGGACAAAAAGCCGTTAATGTCTTACTATCATTTGATGAAACTTATGCTGAAATAAAACCTGTTAAGTTAAATGATGACAATGTTACTGCATATGTGTAAGTTAATTTTTTTTTTAACCAAAAAATTATTACCATTTATGAAATTAAGTGTTTAATTATGGGAAATAAATATACCTATATAGTAAAGAATTATATATACCATAAAGTAAAGCCCAATGGTCCAAATAAATAATATGACAATTCAAACATTTATTTTTTATGGTTTATAATATCAATATGAATATTATGTTTTATTATTTATTACGATACAAATATCACGGAATAATTTCTGTGTAAATATTAAGTAATACATAAAAAATAAATATTATTTCCAGATCTATAATGCGAGGTTGTGATAACATGTGCACTTATTGTATTGTTCCTTTTACCAGAGGTCGTGAACGCTCTAGGCCTGTTGAATCAATATTAGATGAAATCAAATATTTATCAGAAAAAGGCTTCAAGGAAGTAACTCTATTGGGTAATTGTAAATTAATTTTTTTATTCGAATTATTCATCATAGTATCACTCATTAATTTTTAATATTAGGTCAAAATGTTAATAGCTATCGTGATTTGAGTACTTCTTCATTTTTTATGCCTTCAACTAATACATTAGCATCAGGATTCAAAACTGTTTACAAAGAGAAGAAAGGTGGTGTTCGATTTGCTGAACTACTAAATAGAGTATCTGATGTTGATCCGGAAATGCGAATAAGATTTACTTCACCACATCCAAAAGATTTTCCTGATGAAGTTAATACTTAATATAATTGTTAGTATCAAATGAATCATTTCATGTTTTATTTTTACCATCCAGGTTTTGGATATTATTTTGGAGAAACCTAATGTATGCAAAAATTTACATTTACCAGCTCAGTGTGGAAGTACAGAAGTTTTGGAGAAAATGAGAAGAGGTTACACACGTGAATCGTATTTAAGCTTGGCTCAACATATAAGAGATCGACTACCCGGTGTAACATATTCTAGTGATTTCATAGCAGGTTTTTGTGGTGAAACTGATGAAGAATTTGAAGATACTATTAGCTTGATGGAAACTGTAAAATATCATAATGCTTTCTTATTTGCATACAGTATGAGAGAAGTATGATGGATATATTGTATACATGTATATAGTTACATATGTAAATAGCATAGGCACAACTAGGGTTAAAATTTTTTTTTGGAGGGGCTACAGGCCCACCTAACAAACCTATTTAAAGTAACCCATAGAGACCTTGTATCTAAATCAATAAGGGATATTTTGTGGGGGGCTAAGCCCTCCTATCCCCTCTATTTACACCACTGGTAAATATATTGATTATATTATATATTATGTTAGGCTAAATTACCCAAAATTCTTCAATGAACAAAAATGTACACAAAAATACCTGTGTATGATATTAAGATATGACCTAATACCAACATTCTTTGTACTTAAGTAACACTTTTTTAATACCTAACTTAATATTTTATAATTTATATAAATAGTTAATAGTTTTAAAATGTTTAATCTCCAATTAATACATTAGGTGGTATATTAGTTGCCTTCTTAGGGCCGATTTCACCAACACAGTTAATCACGGTTAACGCTTAATCGGCTGATAACAGATATTTAACCGGCCAAATTCGGCCGATTAAAATTCCGGTTAACTTTAATCATGATTAACTGTGTTGGTGAAATCGGCCCTTATTTATTGTCCCATGAATAATAGTGATTTTAAAGATAATGTGAATATAGATAGTCATTAGTTAAAAGTAACTCATAATTCCATAGATGAATGTTAGTTCATGACTATATGTTTAGCTTACTTTAAAACATAATTGTTATAATAATATAAAAATAAATATGAGGAATCTGAAGCTATAATTTTTTAAATGTTATATTGTTTTACAGAAAACAACAGCATATCGTCGTTATAAAGATGATGTTCCACATGAAATTAAAGTAGAAAGAGTAAAAAAGATGTTTAATGTATTTAGAAGAGATGCAGAAATTTTAAACAAACAATTTGTTAATACTGAACAACTTATGTTGGTTGAAGGTGTAAGTTAATTGTATCGTACTTTTAATTATTATTCGTGGATAAAATTATCCATACATATTATCGTTCTTAATATATTTATGAAACTAAATATGTTAAATAAAAATTATTTTTATAATTGTGTACTAATTTTATGATGAAGAGTATTTGTAGTTTTTTTTCAAGCTTAAACAGAAAAGTTATTTTATTATTTTCTTTTGGTTTCAACTTTTAACCTGTGATCCAAGAATAATTGTTTTCATATTCTTAACTAAAATAGTAAAATATATATTTAAATCACAAATAAAGGAATTGTTTAGACTTTGGAACTTACATACGTGTTATTTTAACAATTTTTTTTTGTTTTTTTTCAATCTAGTTAAACCCTAAAGGGGTTTGAGTTTCATTTGTATACAAAATGTAGATAGATGATAAAATAAACTGTTTATTATAGATACAAGTTTGAAGTATTACTAATTTTAAATGTAACATAACATAAATAATTTTATAATTTTTTATCATACTCATAATTAATATGTTTAAATTTAGGAAAGTCGTAGAAGCCCATCTGATCTATGTGGACGAACAGATGGAAATATAAAAGTTATTGTTCCAAATACTAAATTACCTCTTGAAGAATCATCATTAAATCAAGACATTAAACCTGGTGATTATATTACAGTAAAGGTTAGTACTTAATATTATAAAATTACAAGGTATAACAATAGTATGTATCGCAAGTAATTTAGTATTAAGTTTTAATTAAATTTTATTTTCAGATAATTGAATCTAACTCGCAAGTATTAAAAGGCATGCCTCTGAAACGTACAGGTCTCCAAGAGTATGAAAAGAAAAAAAAAACCAACATTTATTAAAGAAAAATAATGTTAATTACACTTTTTAAATGTATTATATATTGATTATTGATTAAAGTATGAATAAATATTTTATTGTTATTTGTGCTTTAGTATACAATTTATTTAGGTAAACATTTTCTGAAGGCAACTTTAGGAATTTAGTAAGTTTACAGGGGAACAAAAATTGTATGTACTTGCCTATTCAAAAAACTAAATAAAAAAATGTAATTAAAAATTGTGAAAATCTCATCTAATTTACAATCAATAAAAGTAATTTAAAAAATTAATTTCATGTACATGGGTCACATAAAGTTTGTCCACGGGCCGCCATTTGGTGACCTTTATAATAGGTACTGTGTAGATATATTTATTGAAGTTTTTTTTTTTTTATTGAACAAAAATTTATTTTTACAATCTGTATTTACATGTAGTAGGTACATTAAGTAAATGGTATGTGGATTGATTAGCGGGAGGGGAAGTCACCCAATGGTGGCACTACATCATTTATTGAAGTTAAGCAATTAGTGTTAGATTGCACCTAAATGGCTAAATAGTTTAATAGTATTTTGAATTTGTTTAATTATATATTTATACAAATGTAACAATTTCAAGACAAGTTTTATTACTAAATACCATTGATTTTATAATATTATAAAATCAATGCTTAATACCAATTGATAACAAAATGCTGTACCTACATTACTCACATCATAATATTATAATTATATTAGATATAATTTTTTTATCACATATTTTAGAAAAAAAATGTTTTATATTTCTTAACAACTGAGTTGGTACTGACATAATTCGCCCTTGACTCAGGGGCTGAACTTACCAATTGTAAGGAGGTCTGGGAGGATCACCTGTCACCCCTCCCTGTAGTGTTCAAAATGTGTATCACACTTTATTTACCTATTGGTAATTTTTGGTATTAATTTTATACAATATTATTATTTATTGTACACTTATTATTTTATATTATAGGTACTTACTTATAAATCAATTCCGATAATTTGGAGAGTTACGTCTTACGTGCACTGAGATTTTCACTACACGACAACGAGAGTGTTCTATGGCGTAATCCATAAATTAGAATTTCCATTTTCAATACAATAATTTTCGTATTTTTACTATCATTGTTGCACTTAACAATTAACATATTTTTACATACCCACACAATTATTTAACAAACAAGACTATCTATTATTCTGTTTAATTTTATTTGGTTCTGTGATAAAATAGTGTATTTATAACCAACGTCTCGCATAAATATTTATTAAACTATTTGTTGTGTTGTGTTCCTGAACGTGCGCTTGTTGACAAAATATTATATTATAGGTATACCTATAAAATATCTGATCAAGATATATTAAAGTATCGAGAAAATATTGAGTTGAAGGTTGGTAATTTAAGTTATATTATGTGTGATAGATCCTCCTATGACCATTTTTCAATGTGTATAAGATCTGATAACCATAAATTAATCAAATACCTAGTGCATATTAAAAAATCAGCCATACCCCCCTTGAAAAATCATTTGACCGTCTTCCGCCACTGTTGTAGACAATTTGGGAAGTTAGAAATTCCCGTTAAATGTGTAAATGACAAATACCTACTTACTACGCCTGACTGGACTGAATCGTAGTTTTATCTATGACCGTCTCCGCTCTGAATCGTTTTTATCGCATAATATACTGGTGACCACCCGGCTTCTTGTCCCACATACATAACACGTGTCGTAGCCGTAACCCTCCATAGTCTATACTCCCTATGACCCATGTTGATGATAGTCACAAAAATAAATGCACAGGCCTAAAATTCGTTTTATGTATTTTTGCTGTAGGACAACATGTCTCCTATTAAGAAGAAAGTGGTGATCGTCGGAGACGGCGAGAGTGGTAAGACATGCTTATTGCGAGTGTTTTTTGAGGATATTTTCCCAGAAGTATACGTGCCAACTGTGTTTGACTTCTATTCAACCGAAATCGAAGTTGAAGGGAAAAAGGTTGCGCTCGACCTTTGGGACACTGCTGGTCAAGAGGATTACGACAGACTGCGACCACTGTCATATGGGTCCGCTGATGTAGTGATCCTATGCTATTCAATCGATACTCCCAAATCGTTGATTAACGTAATTGATAAATGGGTGCCGGAAGTGCGGTATTTTTGCAAGGAAGTGCCGGTGATATTGGTTGGTAATAAGAAGGACCTCCGCGACAGCCGTCTGCAGAGTATTGATCTACCGCAGTCTAACCAGGACATAGGCAACGCAACCGAAGTCACTGTTGGACAAACGATTACTGAAAACGAAACGCTGAAAAGTATTAGTCTGCCGGGTGAGACAGAAACTGTCGAACGGCTGCCGGTACTGGCGAAATCGGATGGCTACCGTGGCGGGATAGTAACAAGACAAGAAAACTTCGACGTATCGGAAATTGGCCAAAAAAATATTATCGGACAAGAACCAGAAAAATCAGAAGCTACTACAGAAAATCACAATACGGACACACCGAGAAAAACTAGCATTCGGATACCTGAATATAATGTCATGACTACCAAAGAGATTGGTCAATCAGTGGCCGAAGATATCAAAGCTTTTGCATTTTTAGAATGTTCTTCGAAGACCAAGGAAGGAGTCCGTGATGTTTTCGTAGCCACAGTGAAGGCGACGAGAAGGACTTCCAAACATAGTACTCAGTGCATTTTACTTTAAACACAAAATAAAATATAATACAGGGATGTATAGATAAACATATTCATAAATTCCTATATATTTTATGATATGTCTTATACCTACTTATCTATTATTTTGCGTGTGTTGTGAGGGGGGGATACCGATATTATAATATATTATTATCATAGGTGGAACTATATGGGATATGTTTTAGTACACCTGAAACACCATCCAAATATTTTAAAAACGGGACAAATCATTGTTATTGTATTAAATTAAACTAATTTCTAGTAAAACCATATAAAAATAAAAATTGTTTACTGCAGGTGTTACGTGTGTGTTTACTTGACGTTTTGTATAAACAATGAACTATTATAATTTATAATATTTATTATACGTGCTGCGCAGTAGTGCCTCGTATACCTATATACAAGGTTTAAATAGTTGCTGGATGGCACTGGCGCACTGCAATATCCCACTGTGCAAAAAGTTATAATATTAAAAAAGTCGCTCTACTGAACAGTAAGTTACAAGTGGGTCACTGTATAATGGATGGTATTAATTAATTAATTGATATGGATGGATTTGAATTCAATGATATAATATCATTGTATAAGAAAAACGATTCTGATCGGAGACGGTATGTCAGTCTAGGTATAAGACATATTATTATATACTTATCTACGGTATTAAAAGAAAAATTGACCTATAATAAATTCCAAATTAATCATATCACCATATCAATTAGGTACTTAAAACGCGTTATACATCAACAATAAACCGTGATACTATCATAGATATATGAAAGTATACTTTAGAAGTTTCAAGTGCCCACGAATAATATTATACAATTACAACAATATAACTAAAATAGTTATTCTAGGTTTTTTTAATATGTAATTTCGTCCAAATTTGAACTTAAAATTACTATAAAAATAAACTGGGTTTATGTATTTTTTATATTTTTTGGTCACAGAATTAACTACTTACGTAGAATCTTGTCTTAAATTTTCAATTCTTCGATATAAAAGTTGAACATTTTATACATTTTTAACTACAAAATAATTATTCAATTTTAAATTTGATAAATTATGTCAAAATTCGATCTTTAAATACATATAAAAAAAATTGTGCCTATGTATTTTTAATATTTTTCACTGCTATTGTAACAATATATCAGGAGCCTTGTATTAAATTTTTACACTTTTTGGCAAAGCAGATAAAACTTTATTGATATTCGTAGAAAAAAAAATAAAAAATAGAAATATGATATTGTCCGTAAACAGCTCAAAACAAGTCAAAAAATTTTGAAAATTTTATCAAGTATAAGAATTGATAAAATAAACATTCAGTGAAATATTTATGTATCTACAGTTATTCGTTTTTGAATTACAACAAAATAAGAAAATCGCTACATGAGAAATCTATAGTGAATATCCAATATTGTAAAAATTTAAATTTCAAACTCTCTTAAATATTTAATTTGACTTTCTTATAGACATTTTTTTTCTGATAAAGGTAGAATAACTTATGACGAATCTTGTATTACATTTTCAAATCTTATATTTAATAAGAAAAATTTTTACGAATTTTTAACTCAAAATAATTTGCTAATTTTCATGATTTTTCCATATTTTGTCAATTTCTGAACTTTAAATGCTTATAAAAAAAACTGTGACTAAGGATTTTTAATATTTTTCAAATGTCATTGAACAATATAGTAGGAGCCTTGAATTAAATTTTCAAGTAATTTTACTCAACAAATAACGTTTTATTGACATTCGTAGAAAAAAAAACTAATAAAATTGGAAACTGAAAATGTCCCTAAACAGTTCAAAATAAATAATAATATTTTGAAAATTTTAACGTGTATAGAAAATGCAAATATAAACAATCAGTGAAAATTTCAGGTAGGTATCTACGGTCATTTGTTTTAAAGTTAAACCAAAAACCAAAGTCGATTTTTCTGAAAAATTTCCGTTTTTCCTTAATTTTTCTTTTGTTTTTCTTGGCGCTTTTGATAATTACTGGGAATTTTAAATTATGACCTCCCCAATGCAACAACAATATTAACTTTCCAATCGAACAAGATACCGAAGTTGAAAATCGAAGCATTATTTTGACTACTTATCGTGTACACAGACACAAAAAAAAAAATGAAAAAAAAAATAACACACATCATTGTAAAATCAATACATTCATCGTTCCACTCAGAATCTAAAAGAGTATTTAAAGATTGTTATATTTCAATTTTCGGAGAAGTAAAATCAAAAAATCAAAAATGTGGGAAAGTCGATTTCAAGTATACTTGGCGACAAATTAAAATCTGTTTTTAGAATTCTTATCGCTTCATTAAATCAATTGGTATGTTTGGCAAAAAACACGTCTAAAATACCATGATAGAAATAACTATTATATAATCCTAAATGTTGTATGCGTTTTCACTATGACTGAGTTAGATGAAATCTGCACCCTGAGTGCACCCCACGACTGTAATTAATGGCCCAACAACTTTAGAAGCTACATGCAGCGGCGTATTTAGGAATTGCTAAAGGGAGGGAATGAGGCACTGAATGACATACTTACTATACTTACTCACTACATACTGTACAGTTTACATAACATTATTAACATTTAATACCAATTATTAATCATTAATTTTAGTTTATAACAATAACATATTGATTATTTTTCATTAGATTTGAAATAAATTTCAATTTTTAATTTACACTCAAAAAATATTCTTAGACAATTCACTCTTTAACAATTACCATCCTACTATCACCACCTATGTCCAATAACACAATAATACATTTAGTATAAAAATAATAGTATCATAAATATTTATTTTTACTTTAACAAATAATAATAATTACATACTCATACTTTCATTACTTTATACTTATAATACAAAATCAAGTTTTCTTTGTTTTATTGCTAGTTCATCAATTACTTCGTCAATACTTATGTCTACTGTATAGTCTGTATAGTAGGTAGATTTTAATGTTCTACGTTTAAATGTAAATAATATTAAATATTAGTTATTATGTTACATTATGTTATACAAATAAAATTACTATAATACTATCAGCTCATTCAAATCATTTTTCGTCTAAAAATACCACAGACTTCTATACTACACTAGATAAGGAACTCCTATACAATTTGCATTCTGTGTTTGCAAATCTGTGAAAAATACCAATGTCGTTTTTCCATACAAATAAGATAAGAATTTGTATCACCAGTTTACAGTTTAACAAACATAAATCAATACTGGACTAAACCGGTGTGAAAAATAATGCACCGGGATGTTTGGACCATATCATTTACATGGTTCATTATCCCGGTGCGGGATAATGTGGGATAATTTTAAACCAGTTTAGTCTAGCGAATTTCCACGACGTAATCTTATAATTGATTTTTTTCTTACTGTATGTACAAAAATGAAAAATACATAGTAAATACTATAACAAATTGACGATTCAGTGTCTATATAATATATATGTATACTTGAATCCTTTAATAATAGCAAAAAAAAAATACCAAGGGGGGATTGATCCCCCAAATCCCCCCCCCGTAAATACGCCGCTGGCTACATGGATATACTTTGTTTGAAATTATCCAATATCCAATATATAATTTTCAGGTAAAAAAGATTATGGAAACATTTTTTATTTATCATACCGTTCTGTAAAATTGTGTTCTATTATAATTTATATTCCATTGTGGAATTATACACCCAACGAAATTTCTGCAATAATATAGGTATTCTGGATTTTTACGTTATTATTCTTATCATTTTACATTCTGTAGCATTTATTTTTGTTCGTTTTATTTTATTTTTCAATATTTTCTGGGACTTTTACATTCTGGTAGTTTCAAATTCTATATTTAAACATTCTGTCAGTTAGTATTTCGGCGTTTTTTTTTCTGGAACATTGCAACACGCCAACATAGCAACATTGCAACATTTATATAATATGCATCATGACTAAATAAATTTATTTAGTCATAATATGCATAGTATAAGAAATATTATTCCTTATTCGTTATACCATGATAATATCATAGAATATGCGGAGGGCCGTAAAAAACGGGAAATTATTTTTCGGGAAAATTAATATCAGAACGATGATTTCTATGAACCATATTTTTCATTAACACTATTCAACCAGACTTTTATTTAATGAAATTATTTTTTTCAGAATGTGATTTTTTTGGAACAATAATACCATTGAATATTTTTATCAGGAAATTATTTTCTCGAAAACCGTTTACAAAGGATTGGTGTATAATAGAATTATACTACACAGAATCGTACGAATCGGGACAGTTTTTTAAAGTACGGTAAAAATAGAAAATTATTTTCAACGATTTGTATTTAACAATAAAGTATTTTATAGAATCGTACGAATCGGGACAGTATTTCCAATTACGGTAAAAACAGAATATTGTTTATAGGTTTTTATTTTAAAGCTATTTTTCTAACTAACGTACCCACCTGTTCACGGGACACACATTGTATAATATGTAATTGTGTGCGTGGACATACATTTGTATATCGAAAGGGCTCAGCCCGTTTAGTCAAAATAAATTAATAAATAAATAATTATATCATTCAGTATTAAAATATCCATAACTTGTTTTAAAAATAAAATACAAATAAATGCTTAGTGCTTCTCTATAAGGTACCTTGAAAAATATCTTTGCTTTTAAGTTTGATTATATTATTATGTCATATAACTCTAATATTAAAGCTAGTATTACAAAACTGGATCTACTGTACTCACACTTGCATGTTGCTCGTTATTCAAAGAGAGAAAGAAATGGTGCACTGACATATTTTTAACAAAGTTTTAATTTTTTATTCAATACAATTTACCTGAGGAACAACCCAATTTCAATAACACAAAGGCCTCAACATATTTAAATTGCAAAGAAACACATGACTGGTTTAGACTTCAGTATATTTTCTGAAAGGAAAATGAATCTAGTTTGATGACAGGTAAAAATTTAAAATTCCCAGGTGCTTTCAAATA